GGGGGGGGGGAGGTGGGTACGAGTTTGCGTGTGGCTTCGTAGTCGTCGATTGAGATGGTGTCGTAGACTTCGACGATGGTTTTGTCGGTGTGGAACCGCGAGGCGGATTCGTATTGTTGCAGGGCGGTGGTGAGGTCGTTCTTGCGGGCTTGCAGGAAGCGGCTGGGATTGGTTAGTGTTTGGATTCGTGATGGAGGATGAGTGTGGTAAGAGAGAGGGGGGAGGGTACAGTACAGTAAGGTCAGGTCGTCGGTTAGACCATCCTCGACATCCCCCGCTTGTAGCCCCTGAGGCCGGTCTAGCAACCCTCGTTCCGCGCAGAGGGCCTTGAAGCTGGCCAGCGCCGCCGTGTCGGTGTCCGGGGGCACTGTATCTGGGGCGAGACTCGGCATGACGGTGGCTTTGGTGATTCTTGGTGCTACTTAAGGGGGGTGGTTGATCAAAGGGGAAAGAGAAAAGTGAAATGACACCCAGAGAGAGACAGCGCCTAACTTAACAGCCAGCCTGGCTCGCCAGCTGGCAGCAGAAAAGGGAAGGAATGTTTGCTGGACGGGTCGAATCACCGACGCTGCAGGATTATCTCAGCCATGGCTAGGCCGCGGCGTTTATCACGGCAATTCGGGGGTTGGAACTTGGACAAGGTTCCTCCGCGGCATGCAGATCGTCGATCCTGGCCCGGGAAAGAGATCGCGAATCTCCTTCAGCGGACAGGTCACCCGGATAGTGAGGATGAGTGTAATCGTCAACCAATCCATGACATCAACAATGGTTCATGGGAAGTGGATCCCTCCCGTGGAGCCCCCCAACATCACCGCGACGCAACCATGGTTTGTCGGCCTGTCAATGCGGTTCTTTCACCCGACAGTTCTCAGAGATCCTAATTAACCTTCGGTCTGACCCTGTTTTCGCTGCAGATCACGATGACCCGGCTGCTCGGTACCCAGATTCGGGGACGATGTGCCATTGGCGTTGAGGGTCGACTTAGGGCTGGGGCAGGCAGTCGATGACGGGATCGTTGGGGCGCCCGATAAGCCGTGCAGACTATAAGGCCGGGGGAATGCTGGGGGACACCCGACTGTAGTTTTGGTATTATACTTCCATATTCATACAGATACAGATAATTAACAATGGAATCGATAGCATCATTCCCCGACGAAGACCACTTCTCCGTCCTCGTGCCCCGCGACACCCCCGACCTTCACGGCTTCTGTCGCGGCTACCCGTTACGCCGACACAAGGCAGAACACAAGGCCAACGAGGGCTCGCTGCAGCTGCGCGCCGACTGGGAGAAGTACATTGGACCGATCGAGCGATGGGGCTCGTGTAATCCGTGGGAGGGCCACTTTGGGGCCGTGGTGTTGCCCTGCTGCCGCCCGGAGCGGATGGCCATTGTCAATTACATCTTCGAATGTGGGTGGCCGTCTGTCAGGAAACGAGAAACAGGAAAGACAGAAATAGAACCCAGCTGACCGTATAGATGCCTTCATGTACGACAACGTAGTCGAGTCAGCCGCCCAATCCACCGTGCGTACACCCTGCTGCTATCCACTGCACGCACTGACAACCCAGATCAACGCCCACGCCGACGACATCGCCCTGGACGAGACGGAATACCGTACGGTGCGCTCCGTCACCGGCACAAAACAGGTGCAGTCGAAGATGCTGCTGGAGCTGTTCGCCATCGACCCGGCCTGCGCCCAGGTGGTGCTCGACTCGTGGAAAACCATGATCGACACCACCGCGACCCAGGACAAGACGCGCGCGTTCGAGGGCTGGGAGGAGTACGTCGACTATCGCATTATCGACACGGGGGCGCCGTGAGTACAGCACCACTCCTGTGCGTACCAAAACCACTGACAGCAGCAGCTTCGTCGACATGCTCATGCGCTTCGGGATGGGGTTCGTGCTCACACCCCAGGAGCAAGCCAGCATCGAGCCCGTGGTGCGCCCGTGCTACGCGGCGCTGGGCCTCGCCAACGACTACTTCTCCTTCGACGTCGAGTGGGACGAGTTCCAGCGCTCCGAGGAGACGACCATGACCAACGCCGTGTGGCTGTGCATGCACTGGCACGGCGTCGACGTCCCCGCGGCCAAGGAGATGGTGCGCCGCGTCACGAACAACTTCGAGCGCGAGTTCCAGCAGCGCGCGGCCGAGTACGTCGCTGGCGAGGGACGCGAGAACCGGAAAGTGCAGGTCTACCTGCGCGCACTGGGGTATCAGATTCCCGGCAACGTGGCGTGGAGTCTGCGGTGTCCGCGGTATCATCCGCAGCTCGTTGACGAGGCCGGGCGGCTACTTCAGGCGAGTATGCTGACGGCGTCGGATGAGAGATATGTGTCGCAGCAGGTGCAGGTGCAGGCGAAGCGCGCAAGTGTGTCTGAGGAGAGCGAGTCGAGCGAGTCGTCGGTCTGGTCGAGCGCGAACTCGCCGCGCTCGTCGATCTCGTCTGTTTCCGGGGAGGAGCGAGAGGTTGGGGAAGTCAAGCTGGGAGCTGAGGTATCTTCTTCACCCTCAATACCTGGGATCGACAGGCTGACACCGTGCTAGCATCTCCTCAGCCCAGCCGAGTACATCGCCTCGCTGCCGTCCAAGGGCGTGCGCGAGGCGTTCATCGACGCGCTGAACGTCTGGCTCATGCTCCCCGACCGGAAAGTGAAGCTCCTCAAATCCATCGCCAAGACCCTGCACAACGCCTCGCTAATGTATTGTACCTCCCTCACCTCCATTTTCTCCATCGAATGCTAATTCCGCAGGCTGGACGACATCGAGGACTCCTCCCCGCTCCGCCGCGGCCAGCCCGCCACGCACACCGTGTACGGGGTGGGCCCCACCATCAACTCGGCCAACTACCTCCTCCTGCAGGCGCTGGACGAGGTGCGCGGCTTGGCTGACCTCGACGGACCGTGTCTGGACATCTACACCGAGGAGATGCGCAATCTGTTTACCGGGCAGAGCTACGATGTGTACTGGACGCGAGAGGCGGTCTGTCCGTCCGAGGCGGAGTACAAGGAGATGATCCGGCAGAGTATGATCTCCCCTGCCCACAAGATCTTACTCGGTATATATCCTCGATAAGACATTGACGACCATCCATGAGTAGAAACAGGCGGCCTTTTCCGCCTCCTCGCGCGACTAATGATCGCGACCGCGCCTGCGCAGCGCAATCGGTACGCCTCCCTTGCCCTAAGAGATCTACAGTCCGCAAACTAAGGAGTACGCAGAGACATCCCCCTCCTCCCGTTGATCGACAAGTTGGGCGAATACTTCCAGATCCGCGATGATTACAAGAATCTGACTGAAGAGGTAGGCCCCCTACCTCGAGTCGTGATGTGTGCAATGCTGATGCTGAGGGGGATAGTATACCGATCAAAAGGGCTTCTGCGAGGACCTCGACGAAGGGAAGTTCTCCTTCCCGCTTACCCATGCGCTGCGGGCGCAGGAG